AAATAACCAACATTTCCCCTTCATGTCATGGTCCATTCACAAGAACCATCTGACTCATCATCTACTAAAACCAAAGTCCTAAAAAAATGTTTTCCATTACTTTATGTCAAACATCAACAGTATACTTCTCAGACTTTCATATATAATATAAATGGACATCAGCATTTGTCTGCCTAAACTATTTATAATAATTTATGATCCTAAAATCTTAGCATCTTAAGCAGTGAGCTGGCACAGATATCAAACAAAACAAAATAGAGATACTTTCTACCAATAAGGGTATTTCGGTTAAATTCAAACTCCAGAGCTCCTCACCTTTCTTATGGCCAGTGAGGTTACAAGATGTATCTTGAGCCACCTGAAGCCCTCCTCACCAAGGGGCATCCCCCTGGCAAAAAAGAGGAGACTCCTGGTAACGTCATTGCCGAAGTGATTGAAGTGTGGAGGGCAGGGGTAGACACGCCCGCGGAAATCCATGTTGTGTGGGAACCAGAAAATTTCATTTCGGACCTAAAAAATAAACAAGGTTACAATATCCTTAGATTAACAAGAAGATACACTTGCAGATTTCTTGAGGACTTCTCCAGTTGTATGTTGATGAACTTTAAAAAAAAAAAACCTTTAGCTTTCATTATTATAATCGTCAAATTTTGAACCATGAAAGTAATTCGTTTTATCCTGCTCTTGTTGCTATGGGTTTGAGATTTTTAATGACAATGTGAAATTTAAAACCAGATCAATCCACTATCTTTAGTAAGAATGTATAGCTCAGGACATGTCCTAATTTTTTAATATTTTCTTCTTACTTCTATAAATGCTTTAAAGGTATTATTCATTGATTGCAATGAGGAAAGGGACTATTAAATCCTGTTTAAAAAAAATGTTGATTGAATATTTGAAGGAAAATATAGTGTGATACTTATCCAGCCTAACATTCTCACAATTTGATATGATAATGGTTATATTTGGTTACCAAAGGAAGACAGTTATTTGCTGTATCATTCTTACTCATGACTATCACAATGGGTGCTAATAGAAAGTTTCCTGAAGTATCTGGAAAAGTTCTTATACATACTTGAAATGAAATAATTAAAGGGATTGGGTAACTTTGTCTCAGATCCTTAAACTAAATCCTTGATTTAGCTCATGCTGCAATCATAATTACAAACCTTTAGGTCATTCAGGATTCCCATGTCTTTAACAAGCCGATCGCATGTCTGATTATCAAGATATTTCTGATTGAAAAATCGAAATTTTATTTTGCGTTTTCTAACGGTTTTCATAACACTAGTCTATTGGGGAAAATGAGTAAGGTAAAACTGGTCACTCAAAGATTTTACTTTTTTGAGGCACTTCATGATCATTTTGAAGCGCAATTTTTTTAGGACTTTAATATTACACCATATCACAGACACTGATAACACGTAGGGCCATGCATCTCAGATTTAACAATGTTAAACAATGCCTTTAAGGTTGATAGGACCCACCTTGTCTGCTATGGAAAGCTTGTACAGCATGTCCATCCTCAATGAATGCATCTCAGCTTGCATCTTACGAGCTGCTGCCCTCTCTCTGTGAATCTGTGCCAGCTCCTCTCGAGAGACATCACTACACACGAACATCAAATCGGATAAAAAGAAAGATTCACAGACAATGTGTGTGATGCTCTTGGCCAAATATTTGTGTGTTAAGGTAAATTTTCTTATAAAAATCATACACCTGTTCTCCATATCATATCTAAATTACAGTACCCAAGTACTCTAAAGAATGTACAACAGAATCCCACAACTTTTTTAGAACAATGATTCCAGAGTCCCATTGTATGGTAACTTCCATGGGAACCTTGATTGGATTGGCTGTTGAGTGATATTGCCATGGTAGTTAATATGGATGGCACAGTTACCATCAATGGTAAGTTTTAAGCAACAGAGCCTCGGTCTAATAAATATAAATGATGGTGGTGGTGTGGTGGTGATGGTGGTGGTGGTGGTGGTGATGATGGTGATGATGATGATGATGATGATGATAATGGTGATGATGAAAGCGATGATGGTGATGACGACAACGATGACAGTGATAAACATGTTTATGATAATGGTTATGATGATTATGATAAAATGGTGATTACTATGATTATGATTATCATCAATATTACTTCTTTATTGCAACCAAAACTTGAGATTGGATTTTAAATACAAAATAAAAATACAAACCGATAGATGACAAAGGTAGAAACAATGTGCTACAATCAAATTATTACACATTATCTTATAAATTAATGTAAGTTCCTGATGACGATGATAGAAAAGATCTGTTTTACCTCGTGGTTCTTGGTGAATGAGGGCAATGTTGATTACAATGGTGATGATGATTATAATGATTCTGATGATGATGATGATTATAATGATTATGATGATGATGATGATGATGATTATAATAATTATGATGATGATGATTATAATAATCATGATGATTATGATGACAATAATGATTATGATGACAATAATGATTATGATGACAATAATGATTATGATGACAATAATGATTATGATGACAATAATGATTATGATGACAATAATGATTATGATGCAGGGATGCCAACCTTTCAGAGCACAAATCCGTAATCATAAGGCTAAAAATCCGTAATTTGGAGACAAAATCCGTAATTTTCTGCGCGACGCAATTTTTTCTGCACGCTGGCAAGCGCAGCTCCCGCAGGCAAGCGCGATAGCACAACAAGTTAAATAAAAGTAACATAGTCTACCTGTTCATTAGTTGGTGTTACACGATGCATTTCCATTTCTTACTGTATTCTTCTTTAAAAGTCTGTAACTTCTTGCCACGCTTCTTAGTTGTGGAAGACATGATGATTGATATCTAAATCCAACCAACATGAGTTCAGATTGTCGACGAAAATCGACGAACGCTGTGACAGCCTGTGAGAAATCCGACAGTGTACACGGCGCTAGCGTAGCGAGGCCTGGCGCTGGGCATGGGCGGGCGGTAGCGGCGCGGCCAAGAGAGGTATTTCACCCGGCCCCCGCTCGCGAAGCACATGTTGTATGCACATGTATGCACTGAAAGGGGTGTGCTAGATAACAAATGGTCCAATCGGAAGCCCTGTGGGATTTCTATGCATGGATTCAAGGATGGCTGCGCTGCAATAGTCAAAAGTACGTGCTAAACCTTAAACGTGCTAAACCTTAAAGTGCTAATTTTGAAAATCGGCAAAATCGGCAAAATCCGGAATTTATGGTATGAAAATCGTACCGCCCGTAATCGGCCGATTTCCCGTAGAAATTACGGGAAATCCGTACTAGTTGGCATCTCTGATGATGATGACAATAATGATTAGGATGATAATGATAATGATTATGATGATAATTATGATTATGAAGATAACATTGATAGAAAAAGATTTGTTTTACCTAGTGATTCTTGGTGGATGAGGGCAAGCTGATGCTGGTTGAGGCACATCAAGCGCTTTACTTCCGCTATCCCTAAATACAGATATCACTGTATCCAGAATCTAGGAATAAAGACATTTAAAGAAAAAATTACTATATAACAGGAAAGTTATGAGAGAAGGACAGCATGCCAACGTAGCTATAATATAATGAAATACAATATCTGAATTCATGTATTAAGTACTACAGTCAAACCTGCTTTAGTGACCACCTGTATAGAAAGACCACCTGTCTACAAAGACCACATTTTTGTTTTCCTTGAAAATGGTTTCTCATTGAAACATGTACTAAAGGGACCTGTACATAAAGACCGCCTACCTATAAAGACAACTTTTCTTGTCTCCCTTGGGTGGTCTTTAAATAAGGCTTTCACTGTATATTACAACTAATACAGAATTGCTAGGAATTGCTAGGACATGAACATTTACAATTAATTTTAGGATTTTTTTTCCCCATTTAAATTCATATCTTTACCATGAGAAATAAGCTGACAGATCACTACAAATGATTGTGAATACCAATTTACGAAAAGTGTGTGGGGTGTGGGAACGGGGGGGGGGGGGGGGGGGGGGGGGGGGGGGTGGAATTCAAATGATATCTATGATGCTGAAATAATTTTACCCATCAATGAACCAAAATATGTTGCAAGTTCAGGGAAATCTATTTACCGTTTAACTTTCATGAATGCTGTGCCTTACAGTCTCAATAGGCTCATTAAAAAAAGAGCAATCATTTTTGGAACATGGACATCCCCTTTTTGAAAACAGTAGTTAGGCTTTGACGATCTCAGATTCAGTTGAAATCAGTAACTAAATTCTCACAGACAATTAATAATTATAAGCCAGTTTATTATGTTCTGAAATACACTTCCTGTCTGAGTGTTCAGGAGGAAAAAAAAAATGAAATAACATCTGAAGGGTCTAAAAGGAAGGTTGCGCTCGATGGATTCAATCATCAGGGATTCATGAGGACGACGAGTTGTTTTGAATGTTAGGCTTCCTAAAATGAAGGTTGTGCTTGATGGATTAGATTACTAGGGATTCATTGACGAGGATGAGTTGTTTACGTAGAGGTGTCGTGGTCGAGTGGATATGTCACCGGACTATGGATCTTAAGGTCCGCGGTTGCACACCCAGTAGATAAAGATCGCATGCTCGATCTTGTAATTGAAAACAAGTCAGAACAAATCTTGGAACCAGCGGGATTTGAACTTTCTATCCACTGCTTGCCGGGCAGCAACCCTCCCACCAGGCCATCACTGGTCCATGGCACAGTCCCAATGAACTGGAAACAAAATACCTCAGCTCTCCTGACACATTCGGACATATTAATGTTCATCAGTCTGTTTTAAGGACAATAGCTTTGAATGTTAGGCTTCCTGGGGGGTGTTTCACAAAGACTAAGATCGGATCTAAGTTGGACTTAACTATGGCAGGCCGTTCATGCCGTTTACTGGCATTGGTCTTTCAAGGGACGTACAAATCATAATCCCTAATCTACATTTTTATAATTCATGATTGAAGAAAAAAAAAATACTACTTAAGATCATAATGGTGAGAGCAACGAGTGGCATGAACGGCCTGCCATAATTAAGTCCAACTTAAAATCAATCTTAGTCTTTGTGAAACACCCCCTGGGAGAAGTTTCAATTGTTGAGAAGGAAGAGTCGTGTTGCCTGATGGTGGTACTTACCGGTTTATTAATGATCCATGGTACAGTACTGAGTTGATTGAGGGCATCTAGGATGGGGTAGAGCTCTTGGGGTGGGGTCTTCTCTAACAAATCTAGATGTTGGTGAGCTCATCTTACTGCGCATGATCTTGGCTTCAAACAAAAACAAGAGACCAAAAAATCAAATTGGGAATTCCATTCACTGTATCGGGTTCTGAACAGTGATAATAATAAAAATAAAATAAAATAGAAATCAGAGTTTGGGGCATTGTAAACCTCTCAGTCAGAGCAAATATCTAATCGATTTTTCAAATAATTGTAGACAATCCCATGAATGGCTTATCATCACTATTATCCTGTTTATATCAGTATCATTAGGTGTTGTAGACGACAGTCTGAGGTAAACGTGAAGTGACATTCCTTCTCAGCTGCAGTGAAAAATATGGAGTGATGTGCGTGAGTAAGGTTGTCATGGTAACACGTCCCCTATCAGTGCTTAAATGCTACAGCAGATTTATAACGAAAATCAGACCCCTGTCAGATTATATTCATGTAGAGTATAAAGGAGAGGCAAAAGAAAAATACTTTCTAGAGCTGAGTGGATAAATACTAAACCTCATGAAGGGAAAGAAGGAGGAGGAAGAGGAGGAGGAGGAGGAGGAGGAGGAGGAGGAGGAGAAACTACTTACTAGAGTTGAGTGGATAAGTACCAAACCTCATGAAGGAGAAAGAAGGAGGAAAAGGAGAAGGAGAAGGAAAAAGAAAAGGAGGTAGAGGAGGAGCAGGAGAAGAAGAAACTACTTACTAGAGCTGAGTGAATAAGCACCAGACCTTATGAAGGAGAAAGATGAAGAAGAGGAAAAGGAGGAGGAAAAAGGAGGAGAAAGAAGAGAAGGAGATGGATGAGGATGAGAAGGAGAAGGAAGAGGAGAAGGAAGAGGAGAAGAAGGAGAAGGAAGAGGAGAAGAAGAAGAAGGAAGAGGAGAAGAAGAGAAAGAAGAGGAGAAGAGGAGAAGGAATAGGAGGAGTAGAAGGAGGAGGAGGAGGAGGAGGAGGAGGAGGAGGAGGAGGAGGAGGAATATGAGTATAAGGAGAAGAAGGAGAAGAAGATACTACTTACTAGAGCTGAGTGAATAAGCACCAAACCTTACAAACCTTATGAAGGAGAAAGATGAAGAAGAAGAAGAAGAGAAGGAGCAGGAATAGGAGGAGAAGGAGAAGGAGATCGATGAGGATGAGGAGTAGGAGGAGGAGAAGGAAGAGAAGAAGAAGAAGGAGAAGGAATAGGAGAAAGAATAGGAGAAGGAGAAGCAGGAATAGGAGGAGGAGGAGAAGGTAGAGAAGAAGAAACTACTTACTTGAACTGAGTGGATAAGCACCAAATCTGACCGACGTCCAAGGGATGGGCGGGGTTAACATGGGAAGCATATTGGTATCAAACTCAAGGTTAGGATCCTTCGCTGTCTGGAACAGATCTACCAACGTAGGATGAGGCTAAACCAGAGAAAAAAAAGAAGAGAATACAATTTCTAAATAGATTCACGTCTATTTATCTATCATCCTTCATCTCATAAAATGATTAAGTCTTGTACTATGATATACTGCACTACCATTAATTATCCAGTTCAGTTCAGTTCTGTTCTGGAAAAAAGTGTATAGCATTTTGCATATCTGTCTGGAATCATGCAAAAACCTTGACATCATCCGCGTCTTTCCAGTAATAAAACAAAATAAACGAACAAGAGTTCGAACAATTAAAAAAAAATCAATCGACTGCCATCCAACTTATTTGTTGTTACCTAAATTCCCTTTGTTACTACTGTAAAAATCATTACAAAACAATGGCAAGTACAAACTTAAGATGACTTGATAGAAATTATGTTTATCTTGAAGAAACAGATGATCCCGTCTATTTCATCAAACTGTGATATTTGAAATTCTACATGGCTGTAATTTCATCATTTCAGAGAAAAGGAAAAAAAAAGAAAGAATGAGAAGTGCTACAGAGATTGAGAAGGAGGAGAGAGGGAACGAGAGAGAGGAGAGAGGGAACGAGAGAGAGAGAGAGATGGAGAGAGAGATGGAGAGAGAGATGGAGAGAGAGAGAGGAGAGAGAGAGAGAGAGGGAGAGAGGGAGGGAGAGAGAGAGAGAGAGAGAGAGAGATTTGGGGGGGGGGGTAACACATAGGAAGATAAATTCTTTACCTTAATGAATCCAACATGTTTGAAGCTCCTGTATGTATACATGTGGTACAGGGCAGGGATCCATTGTCTGTAAGCAAAATAAATGAGAATGTATTTCAACGCATAGGATTGTTCAAGTCAAGAACCTTATGACCATGGTCTAGGAGATGAGTTCACAGGGTCATAGTTCAAATCCCTGCTGCACCACCAACCTCCACTACATGGAAATGTCTCCAAAGATAAATACATGTTTCAGCAGAAGGATGCAACTAAACCATGACACTTATTGTTTTTAGGAAATAGCATCCATAAGTCCTCCTGATCATTCTCTTCAAAAAGGAAGTTTCTACATAGCCCATGATCATAACCTTAATGATATCATGAAAAGAAATGAGAACTACTTTTGATCTTATAAATTAATCTTGTTCAATCCATGCTTAGCAAATGTATACATACTTGAAAACACACAAATGCTACCCCCCCCCCACTCCCCAAGAGAGAGAGAGAAAAAAAATCCCTTATACATGTATTTACCCCCCCCCCCCCCCCCCCCCCCCCACCCCCCCCCCCCACCCCCCCCCCCCCCCCCCCCCCCCCCCCCCCCCCCCCCCCCCCCCCTCCAGGGTCGGAGGGACCACATTCATGTTCCGTAAAATCTCTGGTAAAGGGGGACTTTTCAGGCAACAAAATCTGGCCCGTATTGACTAATACACATCGAAGATAGGGTCGTTCAAAGGGAGGGAACATGCATACGCGTGCCCTAAATAACACTAAGCCGGTGTGGGGAGGGGGCTGGGGTATATGTATATACCAACTCTACTACTTGAGTCCATATATTCCCTTACCTTTCTGGCTTACTGTTGTGCATGTTGGCATCTATCTTAACCTCTCTCAACATCATGTCAGCCAGCAAGGGTACCAATCTGTCAAATAAAATGAAGGTTTTTCACTTTTATGATATGATAACAACAACATATGCCATTGATAATGATAATGACACCAACAACAACAAAAAAATGAAAATATGTCTCGTTTCATCAGCCTAGCCTCATCGGTATTCATGACGTTCTCCCTGAGGGCCCTGCAATCATATCATTACCTTGGCTTAAGCCGAGGTACCATGGAAAGGTCCTCAATCATTAAGGACTTTCTTCCTACCAGTATGTCTTCAGTCTTGTATTTTGTACTTAATTTAGTGCAATAAAAAACATGTGTTACAATGATATACAGGATAAGCATCTCATATTCAATTGGTCAACTACAATATTGGTGTCTGAAGGGACTATACTTAAATTTCAATTATGTCAATTCTTTTGAAAATAATGATTCAAATCTTTAAAAAATAAAATAGCGCATCAATCAAAGTGCAACACAAAGGTTACGAAAAGGAATGGCACCATCTCAATAGATACGATGATGAGATCAAAGAACTTACCCCTATCATCACTCCTGGTGGCCACACTTTAGCATTGAAACCCTGTCAAATAGAGAAAAGAGAGAGAGAGAGAGAGAGAGAGAGAGAGAGAGAGAAGTTGAGGATGAGAGAGAGAAAGAGAAAGAAATAGACAGAGAAAGAAAGAGTCAGAAAAAGATAGTGACAGACAGAAAGCGAGTGAGATGGGTGGAAATTATTATTAAAACGTGTTCAAGATCAAGCAATAAGTGAGAGAGCAAGTAAAATACACACTGGCTGAGACAAGAAATAAATACAGGAAAGATACCGCAAATCCCCGTGTATAAGGCGCACCTGTGTATAAGGCGCACCCCTATTTTGAAGACCCCCTCCCCCAAACAAAATAAAAAAATCAGGAAAAAAAAATTGGTCATCTTTAGTTTTAAAACCAACATCATTACAAAGGTCTAACTTAGTTCCAATCGGCAAGGTTTTTGTTGCCACCACAAAGATCTAAGAAAAATAATTATCGGCAAGGTTTTGTCGCCCCTACAGAGATCTAAAACCAATAATTATCGGCAAGACTTTGTTGCCCCTACGGAGATCTAAAAACAATAATTATCGGAAAGGTTTTGTTGCCTCTAAGGAGATCTAGAAAAAATAATTATCGGCAAGTTTTGTTGCCTCTACAGAGATCTAAAAACAATAATTATCAGCAAGGTTATACATTTAACGGTTAAACGTTTAGCACAAAAAACTAATGACTCGGGCTTATCAAAAACCACTAAAAAGAAGCATTTTAAGGAGTCAAAATATCCTGTACCTGTGTATAAGGCGCACCCCCGATTTCTCCCCAACGGGAAAAAAAGTGCGACTTATACACGGAGATTTCCGGTACACATTTGGACTAAATCCATTTCCTATGCATCAACGTTGCATGTTATAAAACTCATCAAGGATCCATATGTCTATGTTTTAGAAAGGAAAGAGCACTCAGATCTCAATATATGAAAGAACATTAAAGCCCCACTGCACTACTTATAGCTACTTGCGCCTTCTATACAGCCAACAATGCCTAAGCGGTTGACGTTAATCCCCATGATGCCCCTTTTCTTATGTTAATTGAGAGCTGATTTGATGAGATACCACCTGCCTGACCTTGCAGGGAGGTATAATCTGTCCATGCCAAACTAGTGCAGAGGGGCTTTAAATAACAATTCCTTGGTAATTCCAGAACAGTCGAAATTCAACTCGGACCAATCCGAAGTAACATATCCTGTGGACAAAGTCCAACTGATGCATGAATTCATTCCCAAGTAATGGATCATCACCATAATACCAACAAACAATGAATATTTTTTTGACCTAGAAAATGAAACAATTGAACACTTTTTTGGAAATGTACAAAAGTATAAGATTTTTGGAGTCGGCTTGGAAAAGAGCTGACTATTTTGATTTTTCGATGTTAACAGAAAAAATGGTAATTCTTGGTATATTGTCGAAGAATTATATTCTTTTTAACCTTATATTAATAATTGCAAAAAAAAACAATTACCTGAATAGATGCAAATTAGCTAAACCAAATATTACTGATTGTATTTCTTTATTAATCAAATCATACAAAATGGAAAGATACATTGCTATATGTAACGATAAAAAAGCTGCCCATGACAGCAGGTGACAGGGCATGGCCCAGTGGATATCCATTGTCAGATAAGTGAAGAAAGATATTTGATATGTTAATAAGCTGTATAATGTTCAATGCATTATGTAATCAAATGTTCATTTTCACTGGTGTGCGAATCATTTGTCAAATATATCAATGTACTTTGAAGTGATTAAAAAATAAAAAGACAATTTCAATACAAAAAACAAAAAACAATCAGAGTGAACATGTTCCTATACCTGGTCTAGAGATGAGCTCCCTAGCATCTTATCTTCCAGCTCGTGAAAGGACTCCCTAGGCAACTCAAAATTAGTCTCCTGATCGTCTACTGAGCGTAAGACATAAGCCCCGTACAGCTCTTCAATCTAAGGTGGGAGATGAAGAAAAAAAAGAGCCTTGTTGAACAGAAGAAATAAGCAACTATATTTGGTCAATTCCCAAATTAAAAACATGAAGTTGATTTTGCAACTAATGACTTCCACTTTAATGCAGTGTATCTTCAACTTTTCTTCGATAATAATTTTGGTCATCACATTTGTTTAGTCTTTCACATGAAGCAAAAAACACATGTAATCTGTAAAGAATATGAATCTTCTAGGAGCATTCCTTCTATACACTGTACTCAACATTGATTATAAATGTAACACACTTAGCTGTATGATGACATCATTCATATCTAATATCTAAGCACTCTGTGCCCCACATTGTCCTAAATATGTGAGCCCACAAGCAAATCTAGATTCCATTAGCATAAATCAATGTGTGAAGTTACATCAAGACCCCATTCACATTTTTGATCTGAGCACTCTGTACCCCATGCTGTATTAGTGTGTAAATTCACGTTAAGATCCCATTCCCATTTGTGGTCTGAGCACTCTGTTTCCCATGTTGTATAAGTGTGTGAATTCACGTTAAGACCCCATTTACATTTGTAATCTGAGCACACTGCAGTCTGTACTCCATGTTGTATTAGTATGTGAACTCGCATCAAGACCTATTCACATTGTAATATAAGCACTCTATACCTCGTATTAGTGCATGAATTCACATTAAGACCCCATTCACACTTGCAACCTCAGCCCAATGTACCTGCTGGGCATTGCCCTGCTTCAGCTTGGCTCGGATGCAGTACTTCCTGTACAGCTTGTTACTCAGGTCTCGAGCCAGGGCATGGTCATACTGCCCTCGGTGGTAGACGCTATGTTAGACAATGACTGGAGCATGAGGTCAACGTACTCGTCTGGCTGGAGCAGGACCATGAACGGGTAGTAGCAGATGGAGGCAAAGTTGGGACCTAGGGGGCAAAGGTTAGATAAGAAAGATATTTTGAAATATTTTGACATTTTTCTGTTCAAGACAACATCACATATCAAGACAAGAGGCAATTGTGGAATAATGAATTCTTGAATATGACAAATAATTTTCCAAACAATAGTAACAGGACATAACTCCAACAAATTCCCCCAAAACAAATAGAAATAAATGACATTTTGAAATATTTTGACATTTTCCCAAGCATATCTTTCTCTTCAAGATGCCATCACATATCAAGACAAGAGGCACACAAAATTGGGGAATAATGAATTCTTGAATTTTCCAAACAATAGTAACAGAACATATTACTCAACCAAATTCCCCCCAAAACAAATAAACAAACAAATAGACAAAGCACAGGTGAAGCACAGAGCGACATATGAGATTGACAGGGATGTATAAAAGAGGAGATTTAAAAAAAAAAAAAGGATGAGAGGCAAAAATAGAGTTACAGGGTGACGTTGAACCGGCGTGAGGAAGTTGAAAGGGTAGTGAGGGGAACAATAAGATAGTTGATGCATACAGTACCTATACTATCACTCACTTTTGAATTTATAATGTTGGCGAGTTTTCTCATTTTCCAACGCTCTCTTGAGAGACTTTCTCCAGTGAACACGATGCCGATCAAGAAGTTTTCTCTGCAAGAAAAAAAACAGAATATATCATACGATTAGGCCTGTAAACGATCATCAGATCGGGGACCGATCTTGAGCCGATCAGTAGAGATCGGATAATAATTTCCGGTCGCGGATCAATAAAAATGATCAGAAAAAAATCTGCAATTTTTTTTTTTTTTTTTTTAATGCTGAAAATTTTCAAGTTTTTGGCCACTATCAAATGCCTTAAAAAAATTCATAGCTGGGATTATTTTGTCATTTGGAGTTGTTGTAGAACAAATTTGAATTTTAGTGCCTTTTCATGACTTTGAAAATGATAATATTGGTCCAAGAAAAGAGGCAAAACATGCAGGCCAGCATCTTGGATTATAATGTAGGCATGCGTTTAAAAAAAATGTTATCATCACCATCATCAGCATCTTCATTATCATTACTATTGATATTAATCTTTATATGAAGGGTTCTCAGCCAACAAGACTATTCAAAACAATTGTCTCTGAAGGACGGGAAATACAATTGTGTTCAAACTTGGTATCAATAACAAATGCTGAAGTTCTATGACGAATTTGCTCTCAGCTAATCAGATGGCACGATTACAGGAGCTTATAACAGCGGGGTGTTTCACAAAGATTCATAATCTGTAAGTCGAACTTGATTCTAAGTTGGACTTACAAATTATGGAGAGACGTTTGTAGCCTTAAAATAAAGTATATTCAAAAGCGAAAATTCAAGTATTTTAGACTTTTTCATAAAGCCCACATCAAGAACATGAAAAAGCCTTGATAACAGAAAACATTAAGGATATAAATCAATATTTAATGCATAAAATAACTTTTACAAAATATTTTCATAGATGCTAACAGCTTTCCATAATTGTTGAGTCCAACTTAGGATCTTTGTGAAACACCCCCCCCCCCCCCAGGTATGGTAACTTGTTATTGATAACAGGTTTTATGAAACAGGGCCCTGGGGCTCCTTACCCTCTGAGCTGTGGTCGCGTCCGGTTCCCCAATCTCTTCCACCGATGTCACGGTGACCGTCTCTGCCAGCTCCATGGCCCACTGCTGCCTGATCTTACGCTCTAGGTCCTCTCTGGTCATCAGCTCCAGCAAAGATGAACCCTGAGAGTGAAAAAAAGGAGCTCAAGGGACTTATAATTTGTATCAATCATAATAAACACATTTGATTTTTCTTAAAATTTTATCATTTTCATGTGTACAACCCACTGCAACCCTAAAGACAATATACCCCGCCCCCCCCCCACTCGATGTTATTTAGGATATGCGTATGCATGTTCCATGCCTATGAAGGCACCCCCCTATCCCCGGTGTGGAAAGTCAATGCAGGCCCCCCCCCCCCCAATCTTTGGTGTGTATAAGTACAGTTCTTGTAAAGAAAACAAGGTTCTTGCAGAGTATCAATGCTTTTTCTTGGGGGGGGGGGGGGAGGAGGGGTCAATATTAACTCTCTGTACAATTTGGTAACCAACCAAATACACAAAAGCAGCAAATATCTGGAACAATTATCTCCCATCTAAGGGACAGTAGAACTAGGTTTTAATGCCAATATGGTTCTTGCCAATGTCAAAGTGACAAAAAAGGATTGCGTTAACCTGTATTTTGTATTGTTCTCCACAAATATAGTGTCACTACAGTTCAACGAACAAATTTGACAGGAGTTAAGCACAAAAGATGACCAGGGGAGTGTTTCACAAAGACTAAGATCAACTTTAAGTTGGACTTAACTATAGCAGGCCATTCTGGTTGCTCTCACCATTATGATCTTTAGATAATATTTTTTCCTTCAGCAATGAGTTATCAAAAAGTGTAAATTCTGTAGATCTGTGACCACGATTTGTACGTCTCTTGAGAGACCAATGCCAGTAAATGGCGAGAGCAAAAAGTAGTATGAACGGCCTGCCATAGTTAAGTCTAACTAAAAATCGATCTTATTCTTTGTGAAACATGCCCCAGAAGGTATAAAAAGATTAATAATCTGTTTACCTTTTCTGAAGATGAGCTTTCATTATACAGATCTTCTACAATCCTAGTAGTGCATTGAGCCTTAGCTACAGGACCAGGAGGCTCGTAGTCAGGTAGCAACCTCTGGATAAGTTTGATCACAAGGGGGCGCCCTTCGCCGCTGAACGATCCAAAGGAAAGGATGTCTTCAAGTGTTATTCCGTCCTTTTCCATCTGCTCCATGCCTTTCTGGACAATATTCAAATCAGGCTCTTCACACCTGGTTGATAAATGTAAGTAGGTGATAATAATGAGATTATAATCATAATAGAATAATCTACATTTATGTTAGATGCTGCTTGTAAGTATCGGCTTGCATAGTGATGTAGATATACATATATATATATATTGAGGAGCCCTGAAAAGGACTGTTGGTGTAGTCTTGAAAAAGTCAGTCCTTTTCAGGACAACACACGTCAAGAAAAAGATTACCGAGAGTCCTTTTCAGGACTCCTCAATCCTCCCTCTCTCACACATGCTGCACCCGCAAGCCTACTGTATACATTTATGTTGTCTACGTATCCATCCCAGGGGATGCTCAAGGCACTCACAAAGTACTGATATCACCCTTTACCTAAACTGCCCAAAGGCGTTAACAGCATGCAAAGAATTTCTTCCTACCAGGTACCCATTTACTACACCTGGATTGGGAGTGGCAAATGTACCAGTACATGGACATTAATACGTCTCCTAAAGGATCAAGAGTCCGGCAACATATCCACTAGACCATGAAACATTTGAATCCCTCCGATATTTTTTTCTCTTCAATCACTGAAGGGGTTTTTCTCATGTTATCACTCTTATGCTTGCAAACAGCATGCTCATGCTTCCAAGCAAAAAAATATGATTTGTGAGGATACTGAATGTGTATGATTTGGCAGTGCTGAGTACATACCTGGCCAAGCACTCTAGTGAAGCTGCATAGGTCTGTTTGTTAGAGGTCACGTTCTTGGTCACCATTCTGGCCAAGAGGTGGCGCACTTCATCCCATTTACCCTATTAAAAATCAAAGAAAATGAGACAGACATTAAATTCACACATTGGGGAGAGATTGGAGAGATATTTAGAAGAGAAAGAGGTGTGGATGGAGAAAGAGGAAGTTAAAGAGAAAGACAAAGGTAATGGGTTTTACATCTGTATCATTATGATATTGTTTTCATTATGATGACATACACATTTTGTTATTGCTGCAGAGCTTTAGAGGGCAATAATCACCTACCAAAAAGAAATGAAACCACAAACCAAACCCAGCACTTATTGGTGAACAGCTAATAAATATGAAGACAATAAAGGATAACATAAAGCCTGAGCTCACAAAATATGAGTTGGACTCGGGTTCCACACGTGTGCTTAGAGTAGTCTACTGACGAGTCTTATCTACCCTCATTTTGAGAGTAATTAAATATTTTTGCAATTTATTTTTTTAGAGAAGTAGAATCAAAGCTAATCTTCTAAATACATTATATTGGTAGGGAACCAAAACATTCAGAGCAAAGTGTTTGGTAACTGGTCCCCTACAACAAAATGTCCATTTCAACAATCATAAACAGAGATAGCCCAATGATGACAGCCCTTGTCTCTTGTCATATTAAAATCTAGACTTACCTTCCTAGCCCAAGCTTGTAGGAGTGTATTGTAATCATCTACCTGCACACCACCATTCAGCTTCTCAAAGGCAAACATCATAGACTGTGCTGCCTCAATCTGATAAAAACAAAAGATATAAGTATTCTATTTGGTTTACTGAATTAAAAGTCACTAAATACTTTGAGAGGAGGAGAGGAGGAGAGGAGGAGGAGGAGGAGGAGGGGTGGGGGTGGTAGGAGGGAAAAAGGGAAGAGAAGATGGGAAGGGGAACTTGGAGAAGGATGAGAGAAAGAGGTGGGTCGGGTGGGGTGGGCAAGTGATTAAAAGGGGAAGAGAGAGGAAGGAGGGAGATATAACTGACCAGAATTCCGATGCTTAGTCATTTCTAATGGCATTTTTTGCCAAAGTACCCCCTCTCTATCCTACGCACTATCCACTTCCATATATTTTGGTCCGAGTGTGAGATTTGAAGAATACTATCTGCATACATGTAGGTCCTTGACTATGTAAGGACCTGCTTATGCCTCAAGATAATCATCTAACCCCTTATAAGATTACCTATAGCTCTATAAATACTATCATAATGGGACCCGTTTCACAAAGCCTTTTTTCAATGACAAATGACAAAAATCAGTGACAAATCTGCTGATAACCAATCAGGAGCAAGGATTTCAGTAGCTTTTAACAAAAACTGTCATTTGTCACTGAAGACAAGTTTTGTGAACCCCCCCCCCCCTGATCTAGTACTCACATTATCACTAAAGACAGATGCTTCCATATAGGGCCTCAGGTAGGTCTCTGCATCCTCAGTAAACTGTTTCCTCTTGACCTTCTTCCAAGTTCCTTTCTTCAAATCACTCTTTATTGCACTTCCGTCTACGACCGACTCCAGACCGGTTGGGTTCTTTCCAGCGACAGCAGCATCCAAGAGCTGCATATCCTGCTCAAAGACATCCTCGATGTCAACGTCGAAGGTATGCTGGGAAAGACTCGCCATCGTCGTCATCTGCGACATTGGCCTGACCTCGTCCACGAGCTCTGTGTTCAAACCGTGGTGTTTCTGATGCAGCACGTTGGACGAACTAGCCAATGGCTTCGCGGATGTAAGCAGTCTGTTATCAGTTTCTCTGGTGATGTTGGAAGGTATTGTGCTGAAGGCAAGACTTAGGTTGTGCAGTTGCTGCGAAGATGGCGTACTGTCTTTGGAAGGAGGTAGTTGAGGCGACTGCTCCGAAGTAGAGAAGGATGATGATGTTGAAGATTGCGTTTTTGAAGATGATATCTTTGATGATATTGCTTCTGATGAAGGTGATATTGTTGCTGATCTTGAGGCATGAGTTGATTGTGACTGCATCGATGGCAAAGATGCTAGTTCAGAAGATGCATTTTGTTTTGAATGAGATTGCACTGAATCCAGTCTACTAACTGTTCCTTTATCTCGTGTGGACTCCTTCTTTGTAGTCTTAGAAGCTTTAACTTTTGTATTGCTTTTGGATAATTCAGATTGCACTGAATCCAGTCTACTTGATGTTCCTTTATCTCGCGTGGACTCCTTCTTCGCAGTCTTAGAAGCTTTAACTTTTGCACTGCTTTTGGATAATTTAGATTGTGCTGTTCTCTCATTACTCCTAGAAATATTAATTGATTTTGTGTTCTTTGTAGTCCTTTCTTTCAAAGGCTCACAATCCTCAACCTTTTTGACAATCGGCAATCTACTTGATTTCGTCTTGCTCTTACTTTGATCTGTTTTTGGTTTGGAAACCAATTTTGACTGCTTTGAAGTTGGTGTTGTGCTTTTCTTACCAGTCGCACTTGCATTCTTAGTCTTCAACTTTGTGGAAGCTTTAGTAGTCTTAGCTTTCTTTTTTGCTGCATCCTGTTTTGCTGCTGAAACTGCTGCTTTCTTTGACTTGATTGCACTTTTTGTGGTTTCTTCTTTAGCATCCAGTTTTCTAGAATGATGCACCGGCACTGTGAAGATTTTCCCTCCATTGAAATGATCTCCTAGCTGGCTGATCCTCGTCTGGAGAACTGTACAATGCATCAAGATGAAATGAAACATAATGCAATAAAAAAATGCAATTGAAAATGTTTACTAAAGTGTTCAAGAAACTGCCAGAAAATGCTAATCAGAAAGAGATAATATACTTGATGGTCTAAATTCACAAAGGAGGTTTAACTTAACCCGCTAATTTTAGACCATGGGTTATATGTAAATGAAGTATTAGACCATGGGTTAAAAATGAGGTTGAGCTCTGGTCATGCAATTGCATTGTGAAAGAAACGGTGTGGAATTGCAAGGTTCTGGAAACATCAAAATGATAAGAAATTTGGCCAAGTCTTGGTAAAGTAACAAACACTGCACACAGAAAAATGTATATGGGACTACACGAACACGTGGCGTAAAAATCCTACCCCCCCCCCCCCCCCCCCCCGAGTTTTACGATGTTACATGACATATTTAGAATATGAAGGCATTTGAAGAGCCATGCTTTTCAGGGAACATGTCTTATCTGATGTTCTTCCACACTTGCATAATAAGAATGATACCACTCACAAATTATTTTTTACCTCTTCCCAGAACTTAACCTTCTCTTTAAATTTAAACCTCCTTTGTGAATTTGGGCCAATAGATTTTGAAATGGAAAAGCATTTACATCTCTGGAAAAATTGGACACAAAGAGTGGCACATGAGAGAAATGTATCAATGAGTGAATGAGATAAAAAGATCAGTTTTCACTTTATCTCAAAAGACATTATTCCCTCAAATCTGTAAGCTAGATTTGTTACTCTACACAAACTGTTCTACACATCTTGCACTTTGAGAGAACATAAATACCTTTTTGTACTTCTGTTCTGAACAAATCTAACACAAACCTGTTTGCAACAGAAATCCTAGATACGTTATAGTTGATAGAATTGAAAATCATAACTCTCTCATTTCCATTTGACTTTCCTCAAACGCTGACTTACATGCTTCTCTCATTTACCAATTACAAAAAGAAAACAAAACAAAAACTTTTGTATCGAGGCGGACTGCCCTTTTACGTTGCTTGCAAGCTTGACTTAGACATGGTGGCCGTTATGACTTTCTTACCGTTGCTAAGATTTTCATGGATCTCTTGTTTTGGTTGGTGTTGTTCGCCGATATACTCCACAACTCTGATAGTCTTGGCCTCACACCTCGTTGGCTGGCTGGTGGATATGCAGCGTCTAGGATGAGAAACTGAAAGGGAGAAACAAGTATAAAATCTGCGTTTATATTTATGGTCTAGGAGACTAGGACTCTACGACAAGGGATTATATGGGCAAATTGGTCTTTCTGACAGTCATGACAGTTAGATGAATTCAGCAAATTCAGCGAAAAGGAGAAACAAGCAAGTACAAAATTTGTGTTTATATTCATTGTCTAGGACAAGGGATTGTATGGGGAAATTGGTCTTTCTGAAAGTCATGACAGTTAGATGAATTGAGCAAATTCAGCGACACTCCCATACTTTTTACACCAATCGCTATTCTCATTAAGCCAGCATAAAAATGGGCAATAGGAAATCATCCTTTTTCATACTCCGGAATGCCAGTGGGTTCCCACCTATGATCGACTTAACATTGCTAACTCTCATTGGAGGTCAACGTTTTTGTCATGTAAATTGCATATATCAGGTAAGCAGGATTCACATGGAAACAAAGCTCTGTTTGTGACTTCTTATTTTTCGACCAGTTTCCAGAATTTTGTTGTTGCTATTTTTGCATTGCAAAAGGAGTTCACTAAATTCAGCGAACCAGGGAAATCAGAACTTCCTGCTTGCCCTTACTAACACACTGAGGTCTACAACTTCTATACTAGAACTTTTTAAGGAGCATTTTATTAAAGGAAAATAAAAATTTCTGAATTTTCTTCAAAAGAATTCAAAAGGGAGAGAACCTTACAAGATTTGTGTCACAGAGTTGCCAATTTGTGTTTGATTGATCTCAACCTAAAAAAAAAAAAATCATAACTTGCTTTTAACTTTTGTTTTATGAGTCAACAACCAGAAGGGGCGCTGGTCTAAGAATATAAAGAATCATCTGCATAAAAGAGGATATCCTTGTTAACCTTGTAAACGTGGACAAATCGTGTCCTAAAAAAAGGGATCATCTGCAAAATCCTCGGGAAGACGGACAGCCCGTCAAGTTAAGTAGACGGTGAACTGGCCATTACACAAAATCTGTTTTTTGCATTGCCAGAGTGGGAACCCTACACCCAAAGAGCGCCAAAGAAAAAGACGTCCACAGACAATCCATACTTTTTAGGATGCGATTTAATATTAGTCAGTCTTTACGAGGATATCCTCGCCTCGTTTATGCGGACTTTCCTCATAAAAGTTGGACCAGCGCCCCTTGATAACACTTTTTAACAGCCTATTTTATTTTTAATTAGATTTTGCCTAAACTTTCATTGACTTATTCCTCTTTCTTTTCTGCTTCTATTGAAATCGACTTCATTTTCAGGGTTAACTTCCACTTCCCCAGACTAAGCTCAGCTCAGCGCACATTCACCATGTTCACATTCACACTCGCACACAATGCAGTCACAGTCACACACGTGCGCAAGAGATGACCTACCATAACTTCGAGGAACACTCCCCCGACGCAGCAGGCAGGCTATGCACTGGTTATCCTCTGAAACAGCAGCACGGAAAGAAGAAAACATACGGGTATTCCTCTCTGTAAATTCATAATTTGATTTCTTACCATACAAGTAAGGTAAAATATTCCGTCGTATGATTGTAAATCGTAATAACGACATTTTAAATAAAATTCTAGCAGTTTATCAGGCACATTTTTACACCATCAATGTCGACATCAATCGTTTCCAGCAGAACAGTCGCATTGCATAAGTTCAGCGTACAACTTATGCTGCATGTTATTTTGCAATCTGTGTGAGACTGGTACCATACTTTTGCACTCCTTCATGTTATGATTGAATACACCTTAATTACAAAGTGTGCTCAATATCTCAATGTTTATTTAGTATGCCAATTTGATAAGACATTAAAAATGTATGTTGTTTACCCTAAATAAAATAAACAGCATAGTTTCTATTTTGTTATTATATTTGTAATCTCTAACCATATAATATAAATCTACTGAAATTAATTTTGTATTATTTTATTCGAGCTCTTTTATTATTAATGTAACATGCAACTGTAGAAAATGAAGGTCTAAAACAACGAAAAATCAGGTAAAATTTGAGATTTATATTACACAATTTTTGGTGATCTTGAAAGATGTGCATGATATCTCAATGAATTCGTGTGAATCTTAAATACTGTTGAATGAAATGAGATGTCAGTTGTTGGAACGCGTACAAGTTTATGTCTCAGTCAGCCGCTGGGAGACTCGACCTTTTTTTTTTTTTTTCCTCGGCGCAAAGCTTGACTCTTATCGACATTGCATTGCACGCTGTGTGTGTGTGTCTTATCGAGTATTGTGTCTGTGTGTATTCCCTGTGTTGTGTGTGAAGTGTCTGGTACTTGTCTGCACAGTTGTCGTTATCCCCCACCTGTAATCTGTAATCTGTATCGCCGAGGTTGATCGAGACCGTGGCTGTTTTACTGTGTGCAAAGCAAAGAAACAGAATCACAAATTTAACAGGCTCTATAGATCTAGATATGGCTAGTTACTATTACTTTATTAGGGATTTTAGTTTTTCAGCTAAGCCTGTCCAGCCACCACTCCACTGCCACTGGCTGTGAGTGGGTTGCTGAGCAATGCCAATGTCTGACTCTGAAGAGTGAAGTGAAGACTCAAATTCAGTTTCACAAATTGTCCAATTTCTCGACACTTTTTGTCGAGTTTAAATATCTGACTGAATGTGAGTCATTCCATGATTTTATAACATATTCACAGCAGCCTACTACTTCGAATGCGATATAGGTCTACTCGCTGATCTCTGAAAAGCGGAGGGATAACAACAGAGAGAGATTGTCATGACCATGATTTCACAATCATTGATGGATAGATGTAACCGGGAAACTAATCTCTTGAAAAAAATAAAAGTTATAACTTTAATGTTTTTAGATCTAGATCTAGAATCTATTTTATTCTGTTTGATTGGCTATCATTTCCATATCACAATCATGACAGTATATGGAGTGACATTTGCAACCTACATTCTAATTATGTTTATGCAAATTGATCTGCATGATCTTAAGACAAGACATATTCTAAGGCAGTAAGGTGTGCACTGTGCACGTTGAATAATACAGATAAGCTTGCAGAAGTTCAGGTTGAGAGATCAAATGACTGTAATTCTTTGCTCGATCTAATATAATAGTATTCTTATTGTTTTTTACTTCACAACTTTTTTTTTCATAATCATTTCCCCCTGTCTTTTAATTTCCTTTTCCTAAAGTTGTCTGCATCCATAACTTACATGTACATGTGAAGAAAAATGTAAGGTTCTTTTGTTTTCCTTTGTTTCTTTATATCACTCTCCATCTTTCCCTGTTTTTCTTTCATATTCTGTTCCTTAAAACAAAATGTATTTCCTTTTTCTTTTTATAAAATTAATTATTTTCTTGTCAATGTGTTATTTCCTTTCTGTTTCTAGATCTGTATAAATTTCATTCTTGATAAAAATGTAAGGTACTTCGTTTTTTGTATAAAAGTTCATGTAATCGTATGAATGTATCTTTCAATTGTGATGGAGGTCGTGTGTCCAGACACTTTCTCTTTTGCCTTCAGATTTAGTGAAAATTATTCATCAAATAGCACTAGCCATCATAAATATTTGTCTTTTATAATGTTGTCGAACATACAAGGTCTTAGAAGTTAGAAGAATTTCAAACTTCTTCAAATTGCCATTTTAAATCAATTTTCCGGACACGCAACGTCTGGTTATACTTCTTTCTATCTCTATGTTCATGTGATTTCTGTTTTATTCATTCACTTTTATTTTTAAAAATTTTGTATACTACCAGTAACCATTGTCTCAAACTTTTTCAAATATTTTCTGAAATTTCAACAAAAAAATGACATGAACTCTTGTCTGAACTGCTAGAGGCCTACAGTATCTATCATACCTGAACGGTGATCTTTACACAGAATGTGATTTAAAACAAAAATCTTTATTTAAAAAAAAAATTGTTGTCAGATTTAAGTTGAATTTCTATTGACTCTCTCTCATAACACATAATTCTGGAACCAAATTTATACCTCTATGGGGTGTGATGATGCACATGTTCTTCCCTCTGCTAACTCTTCAAAAGTCCTTTTATTGATTTTGTAAACTGATATACTACTGTGCTTGCTTATTCTTCTAGTATTAAATAAGAAGGTTGAATTGGACAAAGCTAGCCTAAGAAAATAACAAATTTGGTTATCCTACCTTATACCTGAGGTGGCAGCCTTGGCAATGTATCTTTCTTTGATTAGGCTGCTGTTATGAAAAGTGATTTACACCAACAAGTTTTGTTGCTAGTCGATTGTTTCTCATCCAGTTTTTTCCTTGTACATCTACAGAAATTTTCTCTTTGGCCCTGTCTTATAAATAATTTTTAATTGATAGCAACTTATCTTAGCGTAGCTACTGTATGTAAAGATATGGGATTAAAAATGATTGGTTTGTATCAATCGCAATCTTTATAAAACAGGTCCCAGATGTACTGTAAATGTAGGCCTGCATTAAATGTATTTGCCTTTCTCTCCTTTTTTCCAACTTTACCTTTCAAATCTAGGTAGAGCATTCATGACATGACAGGGTGATTGAATGATGTCTTGTATATGAGAAGTCTCCCGTAGTCACTGGAAGACTCCTCCCTCCAGGCCCAACAAGGCATGCAATCTGCGACCCTCTATCTATCGGACGCGGTGTGAAGAATGAGCGAGAACACCATGGCTTCCTCACTGTCAGCCAACCTGGAGACTGCTTACATATGGGCCAGGGACTCTATGGAGGTATGTGGTTCAATTCTATTCACTGTTATTTTTCCACTAAAAAACATAATTACATAATGATTACTCACAAAAAAATACATCGGAAGGACCTCTGTAAAACTAAAGCTTATTAGGAGGGGCCCTGTACAAAAATAAATAAATAAATAATTGAAATTTGGATAAAATTAATCAAAAGACAATGGTAATAAAATGAAAATATACATACAAAAGCAAACATTTTTTCACAAGATAACATTGAGCAAAGTAGTCTGTCTTTCCCTATTTCTATTCATACTAGCAGGACAATCCGTTTCTTTCACCATCACTTGGGCAAGTACAAGAGATAATAGAGAGCTAAAAGATTTTCAGAATACTGACAAGTATGTTAGTGCTCTAATATCTTCAGAAGATACAGAGAAACTTACACAAAAAATCACAAGGGTTTTGAGAATACCACCCCAGGTGTGACACAAAATTAGAAGCCATTTGATACTCAACGGTCATTTGTATTAGGTCCACTCCTTAACAGGTATTAAAGTTTGATATTTTAGTACATTATGCTTTATTTCATATTTAACCTATATATACAGCAAGCATCAACATTTCTAACTATGCTAAATACCCTATCTTTTTAAAGAGAAGGTTGAGTTCTGGGGAGAGGTGAAAATGATTTGTAAGCGTTATCATTGTTAGTTACTACCAGTATGCAAGTGTGGAAGAACATCAGAGAAAAAATGTCTCCTGAATGGCTGTTCCAATGCCTTCATATTCTAAATATATTTTTTCCCCAACAGCAAGCATCAAGGTTTCCTATAAGAGTGCCTCATCTTGTGAATGCCAAGCAAGACAGGGCAGGTGAGTGATTTAAGACTACAGTTCATGCATTTTTGTTGAACTTTTGGTGGTGTTTTTCTTTCTTTTTCTCTTTCTTTTTCGCTTTCTCTTTTTTTTACATTTCATTATTTGTTTGTTGTACGTCCAGCTTGTTTATGAGGCATGTGCTTCTTCGATTCATGTTCACTTGTAGAATCTTTACAATACTGGGTAGTTCCAATTCATTTTGTCTTTTTTCCCAAACTTTTGAGAAAATTTTGAAATTTGAAAAGGGATTCCAGTTTTCAGAATGTTACTCGATTTCAGGTTTTTTTTTATGTTAATGCCACCCAAGGGAAACAGAAAGTAGCCACTGTAGACAGGTGGCCTTTCTAGACATGTAATACAACACATTTCTTTCTCAAGAGACACAATGCACGGCCACTATAGACAGGTTCCCTTTAAAGAGATGTGGCCACTAAGAAAATTTTGACTATACATGTCTTGATAATGAGGAATTCAAGCTTAGAAAATTGATGAGAAGTAATTCCTAATTCAGGTGGATTTTCTGAGGTCTACATTTGTAAATTGGTCTTTTTAATCTCCATAAGAATCATAAGTTTATTGTGGAAAATATATAATAAAAGCACCATCGTGTTTGTAGCTTTTTAAAAATAATTTGAGGTCTTTAACCTGGATTGACAATAACATTTCTACTTACTATATTTTTCTTGTTTTTTATGAAGCTTTTGAGCAAGCCAAAGCAATGGAACGCTTTCCTCTGCCACTGCCGCCACAACTTGCACATGAGATGAACCTTGGGCTTCTACAACAGCAGCATCTTCAACAACAGCAGCAACAACAACAACAGCAGCAGCAACAACAGCAGCAGCAACAACAACAGCAACAACAAAACAGCCATCAGAATGATAAGTCTCTGAGCAACCATCAACAATCCCCCAGCAATGGTGCTAGCATGCTGACCACCCAATCCCATGGTCAACCAGGCCCTAGTCAAGCAACAACCACTCGAGCCCCTACACCCGCTGGTCAAGGGTCCGGGAAGCGAGGTCGCAAACCAGGGTCAAAGTCACGCAACAGCCAGCCTGCACATCTACACACAGGACTACCAGGGGAGGCTCGGGTACGACCCGGTCCGACCTTGGAAGATATAGGTGAGACACGGGAGTACAGGTGCAAGGTTTGCCCCCAGGTTTACTACAGTAAATCAGACGTCTTGCTCCATGGCCGCTCACATAAAGAAGGCAAACCTTACAAATGTGACGACTGCGGCAAAGCGTTCTCCAGCACGTCGTACGTCACGCAGCACATGAAGGTGCACACGAATGAGAAACCATACCATTGTACTTTTTGTGAGAAGGTATTCAAGCAGCTTTCACATCTCCAGCAGCACACACGCATACATACAGGAGAGAGGCCTTATCGCTGTAACCAGCCAGGCTGCGAGAAATCATTCACCCAGTTGTCTAATCTACAGCAGCACTGGCGGCGGCACAACAAGGACAAGCCGTACAAATGCCGCGATTGCTACCGCGCGTTCGACGATCCGGACGTGCTGCAGAATCACACGCAGTCCCACGAGAATAACCGGCGTGAAAAGCGCTTCTCGTGCGGCGTGTGTGGAAAGTCTTACGTTCAAGAGCTGTACTTAATGAAGCACATGGAAAAACACCCCCATATCGTCGGTCAGGCGATCAACATCATCAACCATGTCACCAACTCGGTGACGACCATCAACCCTCATATTAATGCAGCGGGGCATGCGAATCCGCCTCCAGAGTTCAAGCCCAAGAAGAAGAAAAAGAAGAAGCAACAGCAACAGCAGCAGCAGGTTGCTACGTCAGGCATTGACAAGTTTGACAACCCCATGACGCTACCCCCCGTCAGCATCATTTCCAACCCCAATGCCACCTTGGAACGCAACTCGTACAGCGTGCCCCCGCCAGCAGCCCCACATCATGAGGTAAGACAGGGTAGTGAGACGCCAGGGCCAAGTACCAGCATCAGCATGCATTCCCAAGCCTCTCACCTGTCCCACACTAACGGCATCATGGCTAGCCAAGGTATGGGGTTAGCACACAACATCTCAACAACCTTACATTCAGCCCTTCCACCTTTCCACAACCCTGCTGGGTTCCCCATGTCATTACCAGCAGGTGTTAACCCGGTATTCTCCACCGTCTACAACATGGCCAGATGAGGGTCCCCAAGGTAACATCTCTGTGGACATAAGCCCTTCTGTCAGTCAGGCAACTATGTCCACTTTCTCATGCACAAACCTCACTCTTTTTCTGTGTAGATCAGTGTAAACCTTAGCTGAAAACTAAGGTTCGAATGACGACTCAAATCAAATGTTATATTCCATAGGAGATATTTTTATGACCAATTATAGCTTGACTGCATTCAGTGACCAAAGTAGACTTGTCTAGTGTTTTGTTATGTGTTGTATTAATTGTTAATTTTGTTACTTGTTTTATATTTGTAAGTTGGTCTTTCTCCATTAACAAATTTAGGAAAGATTCTCAGCAGAGCCCTCAAAATATCAGGTGACTGCTGTACTAAGCCATTTCAAGAGAAATTCATTTCTAACATCACTAACGAGAATGACGAGACCAAAAGATAATCAGAGAAGAATATGCAGATTTCTGGCACTCTGAATCTCAAATAATCTGAACAAACACGTCTTCAAACTTCAGAGGAGAATTGTGGTTTTCGTAAATGTCATCTAACCATGCCAAAAATTGTTCCAACTATGAAACCTGATGCATTTCAATTCAGGGAAAAAATTAATATTTATTTTTCGGGGGCTACTTTTCAAGCATGCCTGCATAAACATAACACTCTAAAATTGGTTTTGCATTGAAGTCTATGCAAATTTACCGGGGCTCTTTTCTGATTTTCGGCGAATCTTTTGGGCATTTCGGGGCAAATTCGCCCTGAGCCCCCGTGTGAATTTTTTTCACTGTTTCAGTTGAAATTTCAAAGTTACATTGATCTTAATCAAATACCCAGCCCCACTGGACCTGCCTAGTTAGCTTACCTAGTTAATGCTTTACCCTAGCATATGAATTGTAATTGCTTCGATCATTGATTTTTCATGGAATATTTTTGTGTTGTCGCTACCTTAGCATTAGGAAAGGATTGCATAACCCCTCACAAGGGCTGCTTTTGTAAATCACTCTAAACTTGTCTAAAACTTGCTGAAAAAGAAGTCCTGATGAAAGAGAAATTGTACTTTTTTGTGTCAACTGTGTCTTCTTGTACAGTGTAAAAAGTTTTATTGTATAATTGTACTTTTTTGTGAAAGAGAAGTAGTTCTGAAATGCATTTTTGATATGAGATGTTCCTTGGCAAGGTCTTGAAAATTATTTGTACATTTGCAAGTTTGTAAATTTTACCTAGAGTAAGAGATGCTATGCTTTATTTTGTCGCCGCCGCCTTGTATTTCAATGTGATTTATGTTTGTCTAAGATGTAAGTTAGATACTTTTGCCCTGGTGTCTCGATGTTGTGAATGTAATTGTGGATGTACTAGTAACAATATGAAGAGATGCAATCTTGTATCCTGATTGAATTTGTAACAACAAAGATTACATAAATATATGTATTCATTTTTAAAAAAAAACCCTGTAAGTAACCACCTTGATCATCGTCTGAATAGTGAAATTATGCTGAGGTTAAGAAGATGCGTATTGTGTCAATGTTTGAAGAGGCTGTGGAACTTTTTTATTACTATTATTGTGCTTTTTTGTACTTGAATTCTTTTTATATAAGATATCACTGAAATCTCTAATGGATAAAGCCAACCATAGTTTTTTTCAAAGAAGAACAGAAAATCCAACAGTGAAAATATGACCTTGACTAGCCTATCTGAACGTCAGTATAATTATAAAGAAATGTATAGATTCATCAATGATTATAGTATGGCTTTTCTTGAAATGATACAAGAGTCATATTTCACAAATCTTGGAGCAGAATGAGAAGTTTATCTTTGTATCAGCTATTAACCTGAGGACTGAACCCCTTTTAAAATAGAAAAAAGATTAGTTACATGGCAACAATGGGGGCGCCAAACAATTCTTACCGGTATACATGTAGCTGGGCATGTCCAAGATATTTGGCCATGTGGTGCCCAAACAAAATATTGTGGATTTATGAACATAATTTCACATCAAATCTGTCTTTTTACATCGTGTCATGTCTGACCTTAGATCCAGTTGAGCTATTAATTAACGTAAAGGCGAAAAGGTTTGGAACTGAGCATCTTATTACTAACTCCAAGATGATACTTCAGATATCCAGATCTAAGAAATCTAAGAATACATGGACAGTGAAAAAATTGAAATAATTCCAACCTTGCTAGGAATCTTACATATTATCGCCTGATTGGTTCTTTTTATTTATTCTGCCTTAAGAACATTTTCATGAATTCTTAAATTATTTTAAGATAATCATGGTTGAAAAAAGTAGAGATAACGTAGGGTTTACAGTTTTTATTTTTAACATTGGTATTGGTGCTATTTGACACACTTTTTATGTACATGTATATGGATTTTACATTTGAAAATGCAATCAACGGAGACAGCCATTGCCAGGTCCTGTGCATTCTGTATGCACTGCCTATAGTTATTTTTCTAGGATTTAAGTACTGTTGATGAAATGTTTATTATTCATTTCTTATGGAAATCATTGATTTTTTAAATCTTTTTATGCTCATATCTGTCTTTACCATAATCATTTTTACCCCTAATTTGACAATGTGATAATTGTAAATAACTTTCCCTTGTAGCTAAAAAAAAAATTCAGATAGTACTCTAAATTAACATTTAAAAGCAAAACTTCTATCAGTGTGCCAGATTCTTGAAATATTTGAATCACACTACTTAACTTTGCAAATTAAGAGGCCGGGTAATAATATCCAATGTTCTTTGGAAGATATGCTATATCATAATGTGATGTGCGCTATCCAAGAACATCTTTATGCCTTGCAGCAATCATGATTGTCAATAGAATTTTGCAAAAATTACATTTCATGAAAGTTTCAAGTTTGAAGTAATGTACTTTTGTTTAAATTGTAAAATTGTAATTATATTAAATAGATATATTTTAAAACAATACTAGCCCTTTGAAATTGAACAATGTTTAAAATCAGAATAACACTGGTTTTATGCGATAAAACCTTGACTTGCCAAAGATAATTTTGGAATCTGTAAAAATGGTTCAGATTGATTTAACTCTTGTTTTATAAAATGATTATGCTCAAGCCTGCCTTTTATTGTTGATGTATTACAAGTCAAAACGTTAATGTTTGGATGTTACTCTCAAAGGCAATGCATTGTTAATTTGTTCCTTCGATTTCTATCTTTAGAGGTCAAGAGGTCATGAGTAATTGGACCTATTTTAAGACCTCTTTCACTGTTAGGATTAGTGTAAAAATAATCAAACGTCAAGAATCCAGTTACGCTTCATTGAAACCATGATCAAATCATGTTGTCCAATTCATTCCCGCTGTTATCAATATGAAAATATTTTGTCAAGTACTATGATGTTGTATATATATATCACCAAGTGATTTCGTTCTTGAAAAGTTTTGTTTCTTTTGTGATGTAACTTTTGTGTTTGTTCCAAGCACACGTTGTAAATGATGAAATTTAGATTTGTTTAATTTCACAAGTGGATCACGAGTTTTCTTCAAAGGAATTCTGTTCATGATCTGTTTTGTTAATCTTTATTCCTCTTTGTGTTGGTTTCAAACCAATTAGTGACTCACCACGCACAAATATTGCTTGTCCCCTTTGAAATCATTGCTGTATGTTTTGATGTAATTTGTAATTGGAATGTTTCTGGAAGATACCACATGTAGTATGCAAGCGGGAAGGTCGCACAATCTATGCACGGTTTTTCCTCAACTGCTAGACTTCAATGTTCACCCTCTCTTGTGTTATTCAGTTTAAGTAAATTTAATCTCCAACATGGAGATAGTTTGGGTTGGCAGTCCAGTAAGACTAATGCTTTTAAATGATTTTGTCTCCTTTGTTTAACTTTGTGAGGACAGGATTTGGACATGTATGATTCTTTCTTGCCCATCTGAAAACCACTTCGTTTTCATTTTCTATTTTCTCTTTTTTATCCTTCTCTTCTATAACCCCCTTCCTCCCTTCCCTCCTCCATTCTCTCCTCCATTCTCTCTCCCTCTCTCTCCCTCTCTCTCTTTCTCTTTCTCCCTCTTTCTCTCTCCCCCACCCCCTTTGTGTCTCCATCTCCCTTACTCAGTCACTCTTTTCTCTACTCGAGCTCATTTACCCTCCCCCATCTACATATGATTCTTTCTTGCCCATCTGAAAGCCACTGTTTTCATTTTCTATTCTTCTCTTTTTTATCCTTCTCTTCTATAACCCCCTCCCTCCCTTCCTCCTCCATTCTCTCTTTCTCTCTCTCTCTCTCCCACCCCCTCTGTGTCTCCCTCTCCCTTATTCAGTCACTCTTTTCTCTACTCCAGCACATTTACCCCCCCCCCCCCCCCCTCTACACTAATTTGCTGAATGCCAGAAGGGCATTAACTCATATCTTTTAACTCAGAGTCGAAGCCTTCTGGCTCTTACCCGGTACCTCTCTCTTTACTTTCCCACTGTAGTCCCCCTCACCAACTCTCCAGATAATAGTAAGTTACAAATTAAAAATTTTCACCAAAGTATCAGATATCCTGTGTTGATTTGTGGGGAATTAGGGAACTTATAAGCAAAGAATTTTGTGTCACAGATCTCTTTTTGTACTTGCTTTTTGAAAATAGATATCGATTTAAATTTTGCATTTTTTTTGTGCCAGTAGTTGTATGTATATTAATGTCTGTCTTCTGTTTTTTATTCTGACCGCTGTATATTTCTCAATCAATGTATTGTATAGCTTTAATTATATGCTGATACTTAACAATGTTATGTCACTTTGTTTTTTTGTGTACAAAGAGCTTTATATATCCCGACAAATAATTTCCGTATGCCAAGGCACCGGTGTGAAATTCGTACAAGTGTGTTTGGGATCATTTGACATTTTGTTATATCTTGTATGAGGGTATAACTGTTGTATCCTGTGTAAGACATTGTAGATTTTGTAGTCCTGCAGATTATTGCAAAATACATTACCAAATGGAATATAGAATGATTGATCTTTGAGCACTACTGTAGTTATAAATTGCGCAATTATATATTTTTGAAGATACATGTATGCATAGAGTAGATTATGGATGACTTTTTTTGGTATTCGCATGAAAAGAAAAGGCCTATTGCTAGGTACAGAATACATATGGTGATTTGAACATAGTTATGGCAAACAATTTTTGGAAACTTATGTGTATAATGCTACTATGTATCAAACTTATGTGGTGTATTAATTGAGCTGTATATCATTAAATTTGGGCAAATATATGGTATATAAGCTGTCTCTTTGTATTTTTTAACCGAATAATGTTTTGTAAGGTATTTGTATTCATGTTTATGGATGATAGACATGTATTCGTTTGCATTCATGTTGAATGGTTAGGGGCAAGTGAGAGATGGAGGTTATGTCTGATCAAGGTAAAGTCCCCCATGGTCACATGTAACCCATTATGATAATACAAACCAGCCTTGATAGTACTCACCTTTCGCCTGTTTTCACACAATGCTTATAACAATTATATTCATTAAATTCAAGTCAAATACCCGATAAAAAGAACATTTATTAACAACAACAAAAACCGCCATCATGAAGGGATGGAAAGAGAGAGAGAGAGAGGGGGGGGGGGGGGGGGTTGAAGTTCTCCACACTCCTCCCAACATTTTCTTCGTTGAGGAGTGAAGGAGGGTGTAAGCTCGGCCCTTGAGGATTTTGGCTAGGGGTACTTCGCTTGAACACATACCTGAAGGAGTCTGTTTCCTGAACATAATTCTGTTCCCCCTCATTACTGATACTTCTCCCCCCCTCATTACTGATACCCCCCTCATTACTGATACCCCCCCCCCCCCCCCTCATTACTGATACTTCTTCCCCCCCCCCCTCCCCTCATTACTGATACTTCTTCTTTTCGTGCCATGTCCTGAGACGTCTCAGAACATGGCACGTAAAGAAGAAGACTGATACTTCGCATTCGGCGGCACTGTAGAGTCATCAGTGTAATTTTACTTGTCGCAATATTTTAAACCTTAGAAATTTAAGGGGTGACACCCTGCCCTGAATCGCTGTTCAGTACCACTCGTTCATAAACAACATCTCCATAACCTCAACAAATTTTCAATCCCAGCCAAAACAATAAAGCCCCTCCCCCTTTGATCAGCACTTATGAAGAAAAAGGCCTGGTGATAATGCTTTTCTTTACGGCCATAGCATTTTCTTTTGGACACACTTTGGTGAAGGGGCACTCTTGGTTTTCCTTCCATGTCCTGACGCCCCTTTCCCGATGGTTTTAACACCACCTCCTTTTTTCTTCTGGCAAAGCTGTGGTCCATTATGCGTTGAGGAGAAACTTGACCTCAACATTTATAAGGTCGCATAAAAAAACACTTTCAAAATGTCTTTGTTCTGTTTTGTTTTAAGGTAGAAGCGTGTGACAGGGTTACACCCCCTCCCCAAGCGCGTAGCCAGGATTTCATTTTAGGGGGGTGGTAGTGAGCACGCGAAGCGCGTTCCCAGAGGGTTGGGTGCAGGGAGGCGGAGTTTCCCCCTCCCCCGCGAAGCGCGGAAGTTTTGACGTTACATTAAATTATTAGAGAAAGAAGACGATTCGTTGGATCGTTCTCGACTCTTGATCCTTGTCTGAATTCTTCCCCCCCCCCCCCGCGCAAAGCGTGGAAGCTCTGACGTTTGATTAGATAAGAAAGACGATTCGTTATACCGTTCTCGACTCTTAATCCTTGTTTGTAAAAAGTTCCTCTTCCTCCTCACGTAGCGCGGAAGCTCTGACATTTCATTAGATTATTAAAGAAAGTAGACGATTCGATATACCATTCTCGACTCTTAATCCTTAATGTTTGAATCAAGTTCCCCTACCTCCGCGCGTAGCGCGGAAGCACTGACGTTTCAATTGATTATTAAAGAAAGAAAATGATTCGTTGTACCATTCACGACTCTTAATCCTTGCCTGAATTCAGTCCCCCCCCTCCCGCGCGAAGCGTGGAAGCTTTGACGTTTCATTAAATTATAAGAGAAAGAAGATGATTCGTTTTACCGTTCTCGACTCTAAATCCTTAATGTTTGAAACAAGTTCCCCTTCCTCCGCGCGTAGCGCGGAAGCTCGGACATTTCATTAGATTATTAAACGAAAAAGATTCGTTGTACCATTCTCGACTCTTAATCCATGTCTGAATTCAGTCCCCCCCCCCCCCTCCCGCGCGAAGCGCGAAAGCTTTGACGTTTCATTAAATTATTAGAGAAAGAAGATGTTTCGTTTTACCGTTCTCGACTCTAAATCCTTGTCTGAATTCAGTTTTCTCGCTCCCGCGCAACGCACTGAAGCTTTGACGTTTTATTAGATTATTAGAGAAAGAAAACGATTCGTTGTACCATTCTCGACTCTTAATCCTTAATGTTTGAATCAAGTTCCCCTTCCTCCGCGCGTAGCGCGGAAGCCCGGACGTTTCATTAGATTATTAAAGAACGAAAAAGATTCGTTGTACGATTATTAGAGAAAGAAAACGATTCGTTGTACCATTCTCGACTCTTAATCCATGTCTGAATTCAGTCCCCCCCCCCTCCCGCGCGAAAGCTTTGACGTTTCATTAAATTATTAGAGAAAGAAGATGTTTCGTTTTACCGTTCTCGACTCTAAATCCTTGTCTGAATTCAGTTTTCCCGCTCCCGCGCAACGCACGGAAGCTTTGACGTTTTATTAGATTATTAGAGAAAGAAAACGATTCGATGTACCATTCTCGACTCTTAATCCTTAATGTTTGAATCAAGTTCCCCTTCCTCCGCGCGTAGCGCGGAAGCCCGGACGTTTCATTAGATTATTAAAGAACGAAAAAGATTCGTTGTACGATTATTAGAGAAAAAAAACGATTCGTTGTACCATTCTCGACTCTTAATCCTTAAAGTTTGAATCAAGTTCCCCTTCCTCCGCGCGTAGCGCGGAAGCTCTGACGTTTCATTAGATTATTCAAGAAAGAAAAAGTTCATCTATGTTTACACTGTCCAGGATTGTTTGATGTGCATTGCAGATTGCTACTTTTCGCTTCGCGCTAAACATTTAGCTCGTTGCTTTTTAACGCTGCGTCTTTGCATTTGGCGCACTGCATTTCTATGATGCTCTTGATTGAACAAATTGAATAAATTCATCAATTCCTGATGAAGCCGTATGAGCGAGAATTCAATTTATTCTTGTCTCATATACGGTTGTCTCATTTACTTCGTATATTATGTATGTATTATGAAAATGAGATAGCAAAATGTGTATATTGATGGTCATCTTGCGAGTAATAACTCTCATCGGGCTCTCATCATTAATTTTTCTCTTCATTTTTTTTTTGATGGTGAATTATTGGGGGGATGATTGTACAGGCCATCCCCCACCTGAAATATTGGGGGGGGGGGGGGATATATCCCCCCATCCCCCCCCCGGGATCGACACCCATGGGGATATTGATGTAGACAAATGCTCATGTACCCTTTACAGCTCATTTTATGTACATGTATGTTATTACTAAAGAAGAAAAAAGCCAGTCAGTCACTCAATAGTGTCTGACAGTGAAGTCTAGCAAGCAGGGGCGTCGCTAGACCTTTTTCAGTGGGGGGGGGGGGGGGGGGGGGGTGT